AGGTTGAGAGACTGAGAGAGAAGTGCATTTTCATTTTAATTTTGTTAACTTTTGGACTGAAGAGTATATACAAGAAAAACAGTATTGAGGTCTAGGGTGATACTAAAAAGTATTGGGGAGACGCTGTCGACAAAATTCTTTTCAGCATGTGTATAGTTTTCTAATATTTTTTTAATTATGTTGTGTGTGGAGTAGGAGGTCCGATGTTTCAAATCTTGAGGGAAATGATCTTATGAGACCCTCTCAGACTCATGTGTGTAGGACCTAAAAAGATCACTACTAAATTTGGTATAGATTTTTAGAAAAGTAAAGTCCCATACCGATGTTATGACTTTTCTAAAAATCTATCTAAATTTAATAATAATATTTTTGAAGTCCTACCCATATAGGCGCTTTTATAAAAATCTATCCAAATTTAATAATAATCTTTTTGAAGTCCTACATAGGCGTTGAAAGGTCTCATATGATCATTATTCAAACCTTGGACGTGTCTTGATATAAGTTGTTCGAGACTTGAAATTGACCGTGACTTCACTCTCTATCGCCCAAAACAACCGGCCTGAGATAAAGAACCATGGACCGCTAACACTTAGAATATTACCTAATAAGAAGTTGCAAACTTTTAACTACTCAGGATATAGCTGTGTGAAAACCAGCGGCAGATATAGTTTTGTGAAAAACAGCGGGCCAAGATTATAAATCTTGACTGCTTTGGAAAATACATCAAACTTGCAAGATCGTGGCCCAATACTTAGGCTATCCGATGTTTTGAACATCAAATAGCCCTATATATATATATATATATATATATATATATATATCTTTCCTACATCCTCGAGAGCCTACGACTCCTACCTTTACTTATATATATATATATATATATATATATATACACTGTACTATTGGACTTAGGGACAAATTTGTCAAAACAAGAGTAGACATCCGCATAATTTTCACATAAAATTGAATGAAACTGTAGATTGAAATAATGTGGTATGGATGCCATTTTTCATATATATATATATAGAAACACACTACAAAACACCTATAGGTGAAGTTCTAAATAACTTTACATAAAGAAACACATTATTCGGACTATTCATTTTCAAGATTTCCGTGTATTTATAGATCTACTTAATTTGATCCATTTTGAAAGTTTAAAATTCTATAACTTGAGATAAAATAATACTTGGGCCATCTTAAAACGTTTTGACACCCGAATTGTATCTCATGACAGTTTGAAATTGCATTGTTTAGGGCTGTAACCTTTTGCAAACCTCTCCTGTATATCTATATACAGACATAAGGGGAGTGATATCGATGGTTGTATACTAACATAACAAAACAATATTCAAAAATTATATTAGGGTTATTTGTTTGATCCCAAATTTTTTATATACACTCAATCCATTCCACTAAACGAACACAAGAAAATAAAATTTGAAAATACATCTTAGAATGTGTTTTGTAACCCAATTAACATAGGTCTTCTATTATGGTAAGATGCTTAAATCTATGCCAATTCTTTCTATCCAATATTTTTGGATGGCTTTATTGTCATTAGATGAACAATAGTAAAACAGAAAAAAATGATGTTGAGTCTTAGATCTTGAAATTCACCAAATGGATGGTCTGGACTCATTCTTGGAGGGGGACTCATTTTGACTGTATTAAATTGATGTTTTTTTCATATTGATTTTTAGGATGACGAGAAGGTGTATGCAAATTTTAAGATCACACAAATACCACAAATATGATTTTTCTAGAAGTATAATTTTATTATATTACAATAACATGAAATCGCTCCGTTATGTAAAAAGCTAGAATGATTTACATAAAGACCCTATTTTTTCCCCTAAAATACGAAATACTCCATTGTAGGTAGAAATTACCAAGAAGCTCGGTCAACCACCTTTTTTTTATTTTTTTCAAAATTGCCCCTCGATCCGAGGGCATTCTCGAACCATTTTTTTTTTTCCGTTAAAGGGCACTACCCTAAAGCTTGGGGCACTGCCTTACTAACAAAAAAACCTAAAAAAAATAACAATAAATTAAAATTCGGATTGAGGATTCTATCCTCAGACGGAAGGACAATTAAAAAAAAAAAAAAATAAATAAATAAATAAATGCAGATTTACCAACCTTCTTTGTAATTTCTACCTATTAACCAAACATTTTGTATTTTAGAAAATATTTTAAGGGTTCATATGTAAATCACTCAAGAAGCTATACTCCCTCTTCTTTTCTTTTTCTTTTTTTTTTTTTTTTTTTTTAAGAGAAAAAAGCTATCCTCCTTTTCTCTTTCCAACAAGCAAATGATAAAACTGCCATGCGCCCTCTGTCCACACATATACATTTCACAAAAACAAAAAAAGAAAAGGCCCAAATGGTAAGTAAATGGTGATGAGTTTATAGGGGAAACTTAAGGTTAAAACTCTCTCAATCTCTCTAGCCACCAAAACAGAAAGGACTGGAGAAGGAATATATTTCAATGCTCATTTCCTCTACATGTGTGGAAGGATGAATACGCTGCATGGTGGCCGGACCCAAAAAGGAAGAGAAGAATTAAAAGTTGGGAAGAGAATAAGCCATAACCCGTGCAATCAGAATCGCCTACTCACGGACATGCTGCACAGAATTAGATAGGGCGCATCCGTCTTTCTTTCTCTCTCTAAGCAAACACATACTCTCTTTCTCTCTCTACAACATTTACAACGAACACCGACAAGTCGAAATATTCACCAAAAGCTACAAACATTCACGTGTTCATCTCAATTCCCCTCCTCACATTACATTTTAGAGTGGTATTTCTCGTCAATGGGGGCAATTTAAAAAAAAAATAAAAATAAAAAAAATAAACAAAAAACAAAAAACAAACAAACGACGGTAGACCGACCTTCTTTTGTTATTTTTGCATATAAATAAAGTATTTCGTATTTTACCTAAATTTTAAGGTCGGTACGTAAATCACTCTTATATTTTTTCCCTCTACTTACCCTCCATCATCCGGGTAATGAAGGGAGACTGCCATCTCTCTCTCTAAGGCTGTAAAATTAAATGAAAAATAAAGATGAAAAAATTAGAACCAGGGCTGATCGGGATGGGCCTGTATTGGCCTAAGCCCGCCCTCGGGCCGTATTTGTTACCCATGCCCTAATTTGTTTTTAGGGCCGGGCTGAGCCACCCTACCGTTGCTACCCCCTATCCCTCTCTTTCCCCTATCCGTTTCTCATAGTTGCCCAAGAACTTCGTCTGGGTTTGAGGGAAAATATGTGACCATTTCTTTGTCATAGAAAAAAGAAGATATGTGACCATTTAGCTGTGGAGGATTCCTGTTTGCATATATATATATTTCATAAAAAAAATGTCAACAGAAAAAGTTTATAGTAGATGAATACACAGAGCCAACCAGTATAGCACAGAGTGGTATGCTTATTTATTTATCAATCTTTCCAGCTCTGTCATGCTTCTCCAACCCTTTTTTTTTCTCTCGCTTGTTGTCCTTGCTCCAGAAGTCGTACATGAGTTCATTTTTAAACTGTATTTCTCATCTCAATTTCATCTTGGGACTACACACAGGAATTTACAGCCGTGACAATCAGTGAATTTTCTCACTGTTCGTTGTTAGTTCAAAATTTTAGTTGCTCCTACTTCTTTTGAGCTCTTCAGCAGTACCTACACAAACTTTTTAATCTCCCACTCCCCACCCCCTCTCTCAATCTTCAACTCGTTTACACACATGTAGTCCAGAAAAACCAAGTGCCAATACTTGGAACCCAATGAAAACTAATCAATATTATTTTTCATTACTATTATATGATAAATAAACACAGGCACTGGTGCTCGATCTTTGGACATTCAGCGTCTAGCTAAAAACAAAATAAACATAAAAATTGCATCGATTTCCTGCAACTTCGCAGAGATTTTCTTATTTACGTGAACCTAGAGAGAGAGTCCTAAAGGAAAGAGAGAGAAAGTAATAAAAGATTACGTATAAAGAGAGTAGTGTTAATGAAACTGAGCGATCTAACGGCTAATCGTTTGGTTAGATTGGAATCGGCTACTGGCTGGTTTCAGTTTTGGTCGCTTTCGAAGCTATGTCCGGTCAACCCTTTCAGTTCGATTCCAAGAACTCTGAGACCGAGAGAGAGGGTAAGAGAGCGTAAAAAAGAGAGAGAGAGAGAGAGAGAGAGGAGAAAAGTGGTGAAAAAGGGTGGGAGGTTAGGCGGACTGAACGTGAGAGGAGTGTGACGTCATGCCTCGCCAGCAATCTTGATGGTCGGGTTTATCGGCAATCCTCATCCGTACGATTATTATACTGTGGTGGACCTTTTTCTTTAACGCACCCCATTTTACTGAAAATATCGGAACTACCCATTGAGTTGAAGGGTTTAGAACTTCCCCCATTACGATATCGAATCCTTCATTTTCACCGTGTTGTAAACTTAATTACATGAAGAATTCAAACTTATAAGTATAATGCAGTAGAGAGAAATCAGATAAATTCTAGCGTTTAATCGAGTTGCAAGTGTATTATTTGAACGAGGATTCACGTATATTATCAAAGTTTTATTTTAATTATAAAAGATCGGCTGCACGAATCTTGTTATGTCATTATCTTCTATCAAATACGAGATGTTATAAAAACAACCAGACAACTGAGTTTTTCAAACATTTCTTGTAATTTAATAAAAAGAGAGAAACATTTGAACTTCGGAGTCAAAATGGGTTCGGGCCAATGCGCTAGTGGAGTGTTCTTCTTGTCGTGACATAAACCTTTCAAAGTTAACAAGGGCAGTTTAGTTATTTCAGAAAATGATGCTGATTACAAGGGCACAAAGGTCAATTCTAGAACCATAAAGGACGGGCAATATGGATATTTCTCCATGAGTCGTGGCCTAAGGACAATATGGAAATTTTTGGATGAGTCACGGCCCAATTCATGCACCCATCCTCCTGAATTCAACCATCCCATTCCATAGTTACAGAGGCCAATCAATGTAGCATACACTCGTTAGCCTCCCTCTTAATTATTTCTACTACCTGCCTCCTACTCTCTCTCTCTCTCTCTCAGCCCTAATCTCTCTCCTCTTTCCCGTCCTTTAAATGGCCGGAAGAAGTGTTCCCGTCAAATTTCCGGCGTATAGCTCTCAGGTTTAATGCAATGGAGCTCGGAGAAGAGAGAAGTGGAAGCAGTAGCAACGATTCCTCTGGAGAGAGGTTTCCATCAAATTCCAGAAAGAGGTCAGTGGATTCCTGCGACCAGAATTCAGAAAGCTGGGTCAAAGAGAGAGACATGAAACCAGCAACGACCGGAGGAGTGAGGCAATATGTGAGATCGAAAATGCCTCGGCTTCGATGGACACCTGATCTACATCTTTGCTTTGTCCATGCGGTAGAGAGACTTGGTGGCCAAGATAGTGAGTGATCACAGAGCTTATTTTCTATAAATTTGTATATTTAACAATAAAAAAGTGAGATCTCAGAATTTTAACAAAGATAAATGTTGGGTTTTTTGCGTAGAATCTTATTGAATGTTTGATCCATTTTAGATAATTATTTGTAATTAATTTAATTTTTTTGGTGGTGCAGGAGCAACGCCTAAGTTGGTTTTACAGCTGATGAATGTGAAAGGACTTAGTATTGCTCACGTAAAAAGCCATCTTCAGGTATGAGAATGCTTGGATCATCTTCAGGGCGTTTAAGTGAAGAGATCTTGGTTCTTAGACTTTTTAGTGTGAAGCTAAAAGGCTGGTTTTTTTAAATTTTTCTAATAAAATTTGATTTCGGGTTTTTCGGGTTTCAGATGTATAGGAGCAAGAAGGTCGACGATTCTGGGCAAGGTGAGGCACTCAAAATTTTTCCTTTTCCTTTTTCTTTTTTAAAAAATAAAAAAACCAATTCAATCATTTTCCTAAGATAAAAAGGACACCTTTATTTCATAATGTTTAACAAACAATCTCAAAAAAGTACAACATGGAAATACAGTGCAATTTTAGAGAGTTAATAAGAAGAATAAGAGATCATTTGATATTATATACAGTTGCTCACCAGTTTACAGAAACCCTAGCTAATGATCCATGTTTCCACTGAGTAAATGCTAAAGAAGAGTCATATTTGGTTCTCTTCTTCTCTGTTGTACTATTTCTGATAAATTGGGGTTGGTGCTCGTGTTTTACACAGTCATATCGCAGCCGGACAGGCTGATACCGGGGGAGGATCACTACTATGCAAGAGGCAGCAGTCTGCAGATGCAGCAGCAGTTCAGTAAGGACAACGGTACCCTTTTTGCAGCAGGAGGAGGCAAGAATATTCACGATCCTGATCATCTCTACGGCCTCCTCCATCGACCAATCCTCCACTCCTACGATCACAGAAGCAACAATTTCAGGTATCTCTCTCTCTCTCTGTCTCTCTCTCTCTCTCTCTCTCTCTCTCTCTCTCTCTCTCTCTCTCTCTCTCTCTACTCTCTACTACTACTCTCTACTACTCTACTACTACTACTACTACTACTACTACTACTACTACTACTCTACTACTACT